CCCCCCCCCCCCTCCCCCCCTCTAAAATCAATTCTCTCCTGGAGATCGTCTTCGTGAGCCTCTCATGATTTCAGGATAGTTGAAACCCTCTTGAACATTCAGAAAGAGTGAATATGAAATTCTAATCACGAAAGGTGTTCCCCGAGGGGATACATACCTAGAGTTTGTTTTGTGAAGCACGTCAATTCTCTCCTGGGGAGCGTCTTCGTGAGCCTCTTATGGTTTCAGGATAGTTCAAATCCTATGATGTTCCGATTCAATGCTCACCGATGATCTGAGCCATGGGGCAAGTTTGTTTTCCTAAGAATCTTTTTGAACATTTCGAGAGCACATGTTTGAACATTTAAAGTGCATATGAACATATATGGGAGTTATCCAAAAGGTCCTTGTAAGGGTTTTTAATGTCGAGAGCCTTGGATGACATGATCGTGGGTCTCGCGAAAGTTTTTTTTCGAGTTCGCGAATGTTAATGTTTTTTTCGCGAAAGATTCGCGAAAGTATGAATTTTATTGTATGTTCTTTGGTGAGCCTTCAGGCTTGCCCCATGCATAACCACATCCTTTTCTGACCGTCAGCAGCTTCAACTTTGGAATCCGTGTGAAGTTTCCTTCCTGTTTCATGTAGTCCACCCTATGTTATGTATGCCGTAAAAACCTCCAAAGCACAGGGATTATTTCGCGAAAGTCTGGCGAAGGTTTCGGCGAATGAATCGGTTCCAGAGGAACCCCGTAGCCCATAGCAACCCCACAAACTGTATTTAGAAATCGAGTCCCTACCAGGTTAAATGGTTTCATGACATGGTGAACCCCCGCGAAAGAAAAACACAGGGTTCGCGAAAGTTTCGCGAATGTTAATGTTTTTTTCGCGAAGAATGGCCGTTTCAATAAACAAGAATATTGGACAACCACCATATGTACGAAAGGTCGCCTCCGAGGGGATAAATCACCATGTCGAACATTGCATTTTTGTTCCTGCCTCTCGCGTTCTCTTCTCTTCCCGCTGTCCTACCTTTCGTGTCTCCCTCCTCTCAAGTTTGTATAATAGCCCAAATCACCGCCAAATGACAGCATTGGAAGAACTACCTCCAGTTTGGTCTGGCTCAGTTTCAATCGATTTTGTCCTATTCGAGCCATCCAAGTAGAGCTACCATTACCCGTTGACGGATTCACATGGACCCCCCAAAAACCACTGCTGCGGGTCTTCGGAAAGTGGTCGAGTCACCACGGATCGTGCATTTCTCCGGGTCCATTGGCACCCTGTGTGCTCTCCAGATTTGGTTCTAAGGTCTGAACTTCATCACCTGTGTTGGACTGTTGTTTGACATGGACATGGACATGCGGGCAACACCGGATTTCGCCACTGGGGGTTTGGTGTCGCTGCTTGCATCTCCGTATGCGTTGGAACCCATTTCCGAAAATCAAGACATCGACAGCATACGGGTTATAGCAGAAGCAGTAGCAGAAGCATAGCTATAAAGCTATAAGATGCTACAGCTGTAAGTGTTCCTCCATGTTGTTTCTTGCCGGAATTGATGTTTGGTTGTGATCGAGGGTAGCCCTTGGCTTGGGATACCAGATGCTTTCCTGCGAATGCAGGACCGGACCGCACGCGAAGGCGCACATGCGACAGACTTCAGGTCATCAACAGCATCACCGCTGGAAATCCTGGACTGTGGCCCATCATGGTCTTCTTCATGGCCTTGGTCTCGGTGACGATCATGTACCTTGGAAGAGCCGACCAGATGACTTGACTTTAAGAGACCGGATCTTCATTGAATGTTGGGTGATGTCCCCCCAAGACGTGGCGCAGACGCGACTTCTGAAGCCGTGCAGCGACGCGTTCGGAGTCCTGAAAACGTGCGGCCGCGTTCGGAGCCCGGGGTCCAGGTACATGTTGCTGGGCGTTTTGGTGGATGTGCCACTCGGGCGGATATGGTCCATGGGCAGGTGTCGGGTTGGTCGGCCAGCAGGCGTTCAAAACCTGACCTGAAACATGACACTTCATGGGACTGGAGAATGGGGCTGGCGGTTTGATGCTCTTTGAGCTTGTTTCAAGTGAGAGTGTTTAGGCATCAAACCTGTCAGATGCTGGAACACAAGCCTTACTAATGGCTGTTTTTTTTCTGATATTTTCTGATTTGCATGTGATATACCAGATATACAATGATGATGGGAACGGCTCCGGGAATAGATGGATCATTGGATGGTGCGTGTCGAAAAGGTTTTCAGTTCCCCATTCAAATTGTTGACCATTTTACCTACAGTATATTATTCATGATTGGCTTTTGGATTGGCTCACCTGCAATCTGCTGCAGGATGACGCACGTGATGAAATTTATTTGGTTTTCAAGAGTGGGGGGCTAGGGCTCGGATCAGAAAATTGACATGTCCATCGTCTAGGTGGGGCAGTTTTGAAGTCAGCCTTGCAAGACTTGAGTTGTGACTTCTACCCTTTGGGTTAGCGACTTTTTTGAGAGTCTCAGCCAAGTACTGGATTCCTCCAAGAAACTTCCACCATGCGGTCATGCGTTGTGCAAGGATTGGTGCGGTGGCATCCACAGAGAAGCAGAAGATCGAAATTAGCCACTCGGTAGAGATGGGTGGAACATCCAGGGGAGCAGACGACTGGAGAGCCCACTGCAACGTGTGGAGATTTGACAAGTTGATCAGCTGTAAAGCAGGTTCCTGCAGCCCCACATGCGACATGCGGCAGTTTTGGGGACCCCCAGAGACCACCTGGACCGTCCGCCAGCTTACATCGTGGGGCAGCTCCGGGAGGAACTCGAGAAGCTGGCGATCGTGCCTGATGCTTGGCGTGAGAAGAGGAGGAGGAAGAAGAAGAAGAAGATGATGATGAAAACAAAGCGGAACAACGTGTGTGTCTGGTCAAGTACTAGAGAGCGCAAACCTTGAATACACAAAACAAAAGCCAATGAAAGGCAAATGAAGCAGTTGAACATTCTTAGGTGTTGCACATGCGTGTACCATCGGTCATACCCATGTCACAATGTCCAATGAATTTCGAGATTCCTCATGATTTTGCGAACCGGGATTGAGTTGCTTGGCAAACCCAGGAGGCCATGGAATTGAACCAAGCGGACTTCCAGAAGTTAGCTGCTTGGAGAAGCAGCGGGTTTGCTGATGCTTGGGGTTCGTGTTTGCACCGAAGGAGGTGGAAGGGTCCCAAAGAAGATGGTGATCGATGAAGTGATGCTAAGTCTCAACTTCTGCAGCCTGCAAGTCCGATTCGCCCATGTCCATTTGATGACAATTCCTGACATTTTTGATGTGTCTCATAGCAATGGATCTGCAACAAAAGCAGGAGCCACCCACCCTTGTCGAGGTGATGGGTGAGTCGAGATTTTGGTAATGTGTGCAAATTCTATCACAATTATCACATGCACTTTGTCTGTCACAATTATATATATATATATTGCATATATATATATATATAAATACAACTTCTATCACATTAATCACAATTTCCATCACAGTGTTGGTTTTGTCGGGTGTTCGCCGTTTCGCTTGTTCGCCATACCAGTAGCTTGCGTCACGGTCGGCCAGTTCCCCTTTCCAGCTCGAGCCGGCCGAATTCCGCCGGCCGATTGCACGGCGCTCAGGTTCTGGAGCCGGGCATCGTCCGCGTCATGCACGAGGCAGGCGTGAACGTCGACACTCGGCGTGAACGTCCTTGACCATCCACCGAGGCAGGTCTTGAAGCGGCAGGCTTTCCAACATATTCTGAGTGGGGATCTACTTTTTCTTTGTTTTGGGGGGTCAGGCAAGGGTTTGTTTTGGATGTGCCCAGCGGATCCTAGAGATCCAAGTGGGCTTTAAATGCTTCATGGTCTGGTTTTGTAGTGAGCTGAGCTGAGGGAAGAAAGCTCCAGAACATGGTGTTCTTTTGTGTTCTGCACCTCTTTTCTGGTTCCTCGTAATTAGCATCATGCACACATGAAGTGGGCAACCTAACCACCCCTTCAGCGCCCAGATCCAGCGATCTCAACTCGATGAATTTCAGCCTTTGTACCCGGACCAATCGGAAAAGATGCATAAAGACGCTAAGCAGAACCAGAAAAGATAGACTCGGCCCTGTTGCCTCTGAAATCGCTGGCTGAGGATGTGTTGGCTGAAATGCTCGACTTGGTTTGGGAGGACGCCACCGCCAAGACGTCGCTCCTCGGCTGGGATGACGGTGAGTCATGGAGGCTTGGCCAAGGCAAAGCCGAAAAGCCCAAGCCCCGAAAAGTATGGGCCAAGCGAATCGAAGTGACCATGTCTATTTTGTAATGTATGGTTATGGTATTGTATGGTCCAGCGGGTTTCGACTGCATGGACTGCATGGTCATCCTGACCGTAATGGTTTCCAACCAGCCAACTAATCACCGGCCAGACAACTTGCCAACCACACACTGTAGCTTGCTTCTTTAAGGGCAACTTGAACTAGCCGACCGATCAACGGACCAATCAAGTCCACCTTGGCTGCTGACACCCTGCCGGAACCCCCTCCTGGAGTCGCGGTTACATTGGGGAACACCAGTTTTTCCTACTATGCCGTGACTTCCGCGGCTGAGAGTACCAGACTTAACTAACTAACCCATCTAATTATACATATTGTAATACAGTAGTTGCCTAGCTGACTTGATTTCCTGGGATGTCGGCCCCACCACTCGACTCCGATCCCCGTCAGCTCCGGACTTGAGCCCTGTCGACCCGCTCTCAGGCAGAATATGGGTTTTTCGGACTTGGTGAACATGGTCCTTGGCATGAGGGGATCTAATCCAGCCACGGTAAAGGACTGTTCCTTTGGCACAAGATGGATGGAGGAAGTGGCAAGATGGAAGAGGATTGGGGAAGTTTCGGGCGGGGTTTGGAAGGGCGCGAGCTGCGCGAATGGAGGGGCATAGGCGTTTGTGGGGCCAACAGCAGCAACCACCACCAAGAAGAACAACGGACGATGACCACCACCACCACCACCAACAACAACAACAGCAACAACAACAGGAAACAACAATACGACTATCTGTCAGTGAGCAACAGGTAGTGGCAACGTATTGTTTGCCCACTTCCCCACAAGCAACAAATACTCCTATGTCATCAGTGCTGTGTGGAGCTCACAGTTAGGCTCATGTTCAGGTTGCTCCTTTTGGTTTCACTCTGTGGGATGTTCCAACCACCCTCAGCTCTTGGGCAGTGGGAGGCTTCCCACAGCAACCAGGCAAAGAGCAGATCCGGGTCACCAACTCCCTCATCAAACGTTGCTTCGACTCCTTGTACGACGAGCTGGATGAGCGCTTCCAGCAGATGCGCACGGAGATTCAGAACAGCCTGGAGCATCGGCGCTGTTGTCGCGCCGCCTTTTCGGGGGCTGGGGAGGTTCTGATAGACACGTCCCAAGACATTGACGCTGAAGGGGATTTTGCATGGATTTCCCACATGACCGTTTCCAATTTACGGTAAAAGTGGCGTGAGAACCGCGGGCAACATCCACCACAGAGTTTCGGGAACCACACATACAAGGACTAGTGAGAGCTATCCGGGAGAGTGTTCTGACTCTTATGGGTATTGGAGATGTTGGAGCATTGTGTCCAGTGAAGAAAAGCATTTCTGTAGAATACTATATATATATATATGCTAGCCCCCCCCCAAGAAAAAAAACTATGTTTCTGAGCGCTGGTGTGCAGTTGGTAAGCATATTTGTTCATTTAACTATGTACTACAAAAATGTCCAAATCCATAAGGTTATGTGTTTACTAAACAGTTCTTGGATGGAGTAATCTACTTTGTATATTCAACTCTACTCTACTTTGTATATTCAAATTCAAATTTGAGTCTATGTCAATTATTTGTAAATCATATTTTGATTCAAAGGTCTATCACTATAGATTCTAATTTACTTGGGATTCAATGCAAGCCTAATTTTAATTTGATTTCAAGCTAATTCTAACTTCATTGCTATACAAGTCAGATTTAATTCTAATAGTGTATTCTTTTTCAATTTAGTTTTAATTTGAGTGAAATTCTCATTTACTTCTAGAGAAGTGGTGTTACTTTGAACATGAGAGATTTTATGTAGTTTTTCCAATCCCTGAGGATCCACTTACCTTCTCAGAAGGTGATTGGCCCAGCTTCTTGTCAGGACGTTATTGGGCCTTGTTTTGCTCCAGAGAGTCACTGATGCTCTCAGGCAAAGATAGGCCATGCACCAGGGTAACAATCCCAAATCAGACCAAATCCCTGCATGGTGTCAGGCAAGTGAGCCTCTTTTCCACAGCAGCAAGAGTCTTTGGATCTAGCTGTGCATATATGCGCAATAGGTTTCTAGCACATGTCAACCCATAAACATTGTACACAGCTTACACTCACACTAGGAACAACGACACTTGTATGTCTTGGATGTCTTGCACATGGGCCTCCTTCGGCTTGCTGCACTTAAAGGTGCTTGCTGTGTTTTCGGTGTGTACTTTGATGCCTGAGCATGTCTGCTGTCTATGTTTGTCCATGTCTTGCAACCCCCGCTTCGCCAGTGAGACCGGCTCACATCCCAACCTCAGTGCGACACGGCCATGTCGTTGGTGGTGGATAGCACCCTTGAGGATGGCACTCGCTGTGTGGTGGCACCCATGAAATTCAAGGTGTCTGTATCCTGTCTGCACGTGATGTGATTCATTCCCTGTACTCCCTATGCTACACACCTTAACTGGAGAACTGCAAGGTTTAAGATCACTAGTGCTATACTCCCTGGCCCATGATGATCAGGCAAAAGGGCAAAGCATTTGTAATGCAATCTTGGAATATATCAAGCAAGATTGCCCTGATGTGATGTGCAGTGAGGCAGGTCCGGTGAACAAATTGGACTTTTTCACTTTAAGCTTCCATGGTGCCTAAAAGCCATTGAAGACTTTCAAAGTTGCAGGAACGCCCGGTTTGCAATTGGAACCGTGAACATGTCAATGCAACAGTTTTGCCCTTAGTTTGTTTCTTTTGGGTGCATATGGAGTGCATAGTGACTGCAAACTTGAGGATGTGTTCTGCTGGGGCTGGTGGGTTTCAGGTTTATGAAGATGACCTGGAGCGCAATTACAACCTCATGAGAGAACTCTTGATCTATATGCGGACGTTCATTTGTGATGGCTTGCCACCCCTGAAGGACTTTGAGGTCTGTTTCATGTTCGTTGGATTGTGTGCCCAACTGTCCAACTCATTGTTTTTGAATGTGGATTCGGTGCACCAAACTATACTATTCAATGTTCAGTTTAGATCATGGATCTGCAAGTGCTACAGGCTGGGTTCCTTTTGAGCACATTGATCAGCAATTGGCACACGGACAAGTACAAGATCCGTGGTGGGAAGAAGCACATCAAAGCACTTTGAATGCAATATTCTATGTAGTGAATATGTTCTTGTACATGTCGTTCATCATGCTCGAATTTAGAAAACGTGACAACCGATACTGTATTTTTTTTGTGTCGCTTTGACCTCACTTGGAATTCTGCCCCAAACCATCTTAATCTCAGGATTGGGCTAATACAGAAGCTACGCGTGCAAGGTCGATGCTCCAGCACCTCAACAGGCTTTGCAAAGTTTCTACTGAGAGCAGGCTTGGACACATCTAGCTGGGAAATTATTGGTTTTATTGAAGGTCTCCGGTTTCAATATGGATGCACAGATTTCAATCAATTTTTTGTAGACTTCCAGTGAAGTAGGAGAACAAGTCATTGTGGGGTGATCAGGAACATGAAGCTGCAAGTGCTGAAGAGGCTGTGGGTTGCATACAACTGGTCCAGGCTGGACTCACTCTTGGGTCTGTGGTTTGAGCTTTGAAGGTATTCCATGTGTATCCCTCCGCTTTTGTGTATATATGTAGGGATGGAGCTGGCTCAGCAGATGCTACGGGAGGCAATGAGGCCTGCATGCCATTGTCCTTGATTCCAGTAAAAGTGCTTTGTTTGGTCTTGGCAATTTTTGGTGTATATGTATATATATTCTTCACGGATAGGCGGTCTTAAACGTGGAAAACATGACTGCTCTACATGTGCAGTATACCACTTGTTTTGATCCAGGCAGCTGTTGTGGAGATTGAAGATGATGACAATGAGCAGGCACTTGTGGTTGAAATCGATGATGAGCCTATTGATCAGGCTGGTCTTCACTAGGTACAGCTGTGGGCACTCCAGTTCTAGATCGATTGCTGTACGAATTTGTACCTTGCACTGGTTCGTTTTTGAGGAACAACAGAGAAACCCCTATATTGCATGCAAGGAGGCTGGAAAGCCTGTGTCTGTCCACCTGCAAGTCAGTGCAGGGAACTGTGAGCCAGCTCTGTTGTGAGGAGGAAGTCCCGGCTCTGGAAGCTTCTCAAGTCCCTGAGGCTGGATTTCCCTGTGTGGAGGTGGTTTTGTTTGCTGATTTTTCATATTTTTCTAATTGAGCTTATGCATTGAGTTTGCCATGCTCATGGGATACTAGACTTTGTTGAAGTACGTCAGGAAGTGGCAACAACTGTGGAGCCTGGGGCTGGTTTAGAGGCACCGGATCGTCCATGTTGTTGTTCATAAGTGCCCTGTCTTGCCAAATGGATTGAGCTGTGTTTTTCGTGATAAATTGGGGCCGGGGTTTGTCAGGGTCGAGTCACGGAGGAAGAAACAAAAGAGTCTATGAAGGCACCGGTTGAGGCATGGATGTCCTTTGCATGTTTACCTCAAGCTTAAAAGCTTAAACCTCTCTGGCTGTGTGTATATAACACATGCAATTCATTTGCATTTTTGAAAATGCAGTTTCTGGCTGTATGTGCCTGCAGGAATCTGCTGAACTTCAGCCTCCTGTACTATTGGAGAACCCTCTGGGAGCTGGAGAGGAGAAGGCTCCCCTACATTGCTGAAGCATCACTTTAAAGAACCACCTGCATGGTAGGAGTTTGTGCCTATGAGCCTACGGATAAGAGAATACTTTGAAAAGTGGTCTGGAGCAATGAAGGCCAAGTACTAGATTTGATCATTAAAGTTTTGATACGTGGGGTGCAACCTTTTGAATTGTTGTGGTCAGGCACTGGATTCCGGGAGTCGAAGCGGTGGGAAGGCGATTCAAATTCATTGGAATGAACATTGACTTATATTTTCTTGAAGCCTCCTCTTGCTTATATATATAATATATATTTAGATGTTCATATGTATTGTGGCTAGGGCGATCCGGCTGCTCCTGCTTCGCCATCTGAGGAGGAGACTTTGATTCTTCTAGTAAACCCCTGGTTCCAGGTTTTGTCGCACATAGTGGGAAGCAAGTGCAACTGCAAAACAGGATCCAGCAGATCTCGCCTTACAGCAAGCCAAGCTCCGTCAACGATTGGCAAAGGTGTATGTGTGTGTGTTTAAAGCTTTTGACTTGCACTGTCCTAGTACTAGTGAACAACCAAAGCAAAGTTGTCTGTTTGCAAGGAGAAAAAGGCTGATGAAGCTCAAAAGGTGTTCGAACAGAAAAAAAAGGAAGAGATCAAGGCAGCCAAGGCATTGGAACCAAAGCGTCGGCCTGGCAGGCCGAGAAAGCAGCCTGAACCAGAACAACCAGAGGCAGCAAAGCTTCTTGAACCACCTCCCAAACGCTCTCGTGTCAAGTCTGCGCCTGCTGATGCCTCTAGTGTGAAGCTTGGTGCAAAGCCCAAGAGCAAAGCCAGAGCCAAAGCCTCACCAAAGCCGAAGACTAGTCCAAAAGCCAAGCGTAGTGCCAAACCAAAGGCTTCACCTTCGAAGAAGCAAGCGCGTAGTGCAGCCAAGAAGAAGGTAGCAAAGGCCGAGGGAAAGGAGCAGGAGAAGGAGAAAAGGAAGGAACGTGCAGAGTCTACATGGCAGCAGTTGAAGGCTGCGCGCATTCCAGACCTTGTCATGCCAGCTGAGCTGGGTGAACGTGTCAGCTTCACTTGCAAGGGCAGGGACGGGAAGTCTTCAATAGGGGTCATTCTTTACACAGCTTCCTTCTACATCAGCCGTGCCACATCCCCTGAGCATTGGCCACAAACTTTGCACAACCTGAAGGCACCTGTGAGTTCAGAGTGAACTTGTGTGCATTTCTTCGTGGTTCTTCAACATAGATTTGTGTGCTGTGTTCTGGCAGATTGACAACAAGCAGGGTGTCACACTTCCATGGGGCAACTCGGTCACAACAGCTTGGTGGCACGCCCAAGTGGTGGCTGGCTGGATTAAATATGATGGGATCTGAGGACTGTGTGTGTTCAAGTTTCACATATGCAACAATTGGTTCAACAAGAACTGCCCACCTAAGTTTTGCATTAGACATGTTCCAAAGCCACTCCCCAAAGATGCCCTCCAAAGACACCATACTTCAGGAACCTTTGCGATGTGGGCATTGTATTCACTTAAAAGCAACAGGCTGGAGTTGTGTTCCTGGCGGCTTATCTATGCATCCATATGATGATTTCAGATTCCATGGCGCTGTATTAACCATTG